GGAGACTACAATTCTAGCAGTTGCTGTCGAATCTGTCCACTAGTTGGCTAGTAAACGCGTAGTATTTCAGTGGAGGTTTCCTTTGTCGGATGGACGTGGGTGGAGGGTTCCTTTGTCATCGAGATGTTCCAGTCAGCCAAAAACACAAAGTCAAGTCAAGTCAAGTAAACCGTGTGTGGACCAACCAAAGGTTACATCGGTGGAAATTACGCGGAGATTGTTGGACACGCAGTCAACCTAACATAACAAGCGGTGGATTGATTTGTGGGTAGCTTTCACTAATTAGGAAGGAAACCTCTTTACGGTTTCTGAATTTGACATTTTTGGCAAATTGATTCTCTCTTGGAATCAGTTTGTGTCGTGAAACTGAACTACTGTCCCCTATAGGCTATAGTGTACCAAAATCTTTGTAACTCATTTCCACGCCAACATGATGTAATTGCTATAATGTGAAAACGAACATGAGAACATGTAGCAACCTTGGTGCTAATAAACTTTGTTCACCTGAGTTTCATCTAACAATTGCTTTCGAATCTGTCCCCGAGAGGCTAGTAAACGCGTAGTATTTCAGAGGAGGTTCCCTTGTCTGATGAGTGATGATCGAAAAGATTAGTTGGGTCATCTGCCATTGAAATGACCAAGTCAAACAAATCAACACAAAGTCAAGTCAAGAAAAGTAATTTGTGTGGACCAACCAAAGGTTCCATCAGTAGAAATTATGCAGAGATTGTTGTACACGTCTTGAAGCTAACAGAACAAGTGATGGATTACTTTATGGATAGCTTTCACACTAATTAGAAACGAAACTTGTCCGCAATTTCTAAATTTGACTTTTTTTGGCAAATTGATTATTTTTAGGAATCATCTTTAGTACCGTAAAAATTAACTACCGTGCCCTAAATTGGATCAAAATAGTAACATTGATGATAATAACTTTGTTCACCTGAGTTTCAAGCAATAATTTTGTTTAAGTCATTACTTCTTTGCACTAAGTGAACTCGGAATTTGATATGAATGTCAAACCGGTCAGCTTCACTAGAACTAGTTTCCATTCTAAGCATTTCTATCGGTTCTTGATATAATGCTTCCCATTTGTTTGCGGAGTCTAGAAGTTATTTATCTCTTGTATCAATTATTCCATTTTAACCTTTGTCTAACCTCGTGTTTTACTCATCATTTTTCTCTATCAATAAGCATCCTAATAACTAAAACACTATTATTGTAAACTAGTTTTAGTATAAATAGTATAACTAATAGTTACACATTTTTCCCATTCAAATCTCCCATCATGATCTCCACTTTTGGGCTAATTCCAACTTTCCGTCTATAATTCCATGGTTGTCTTTGTAACATTATGAATTTTCGATCCTTTTTCCCGGGATTTATGAAATGAATATTTTGACCAATGCGCTTATAGTGAGATCTCATCCAGAACCGCGCATTCTCGGGATGCTAACCTTAGGGATAAGGCTATTACGGGATTGAGTTCGCACGACCAAAGAACTTGACCTTGGTTCGAGCTTCGACCGTAAGGATTGTCGAGGGAATATTTTGGGTCAACAGAGAGCGATCTAATTGATCGTGTCCGAAGGGAACTAGTGACAAACCCTCGCAATTATATGACAATCGAGGTCGCCTTGGTTCGAGCAAACTTAAACGTGATTTGACTTAGTGTCGATCACGGGTCGAGAGCGCGTAATCCCAATGAGCCATCCGTTAGCAAGAGATAAGCTAAAGTCGCGATTGTTCGATCCTAGTCATTTCTTGGAATTCGGGTCCGAGAATCGAGAATTTTGAAAGTGACAATTTTGAGCGGCCGATGACGTTTTTGGCTTGGCCAACCTTGGGGCCACCCATTTCTGGAAAAAAATGGATTTCGGTTCGGGACCGGAAAAATTACCATTTTGCCCCTCAAGACTTCAATGCCGATTTTCGAGGGCGTAAGTGACTATTTTGCGAGGCCGACACCATTTTTGAGTGGCCACATATATTTGAGGTTGTTATAGCCGAAAATTGGAATTTCGGTCCGAAATTGGAAAATTACCATTTTGCCCCTAGCCCATTTTTGGAATTCCGAATTTTGAGCCAAATTTTTGGGATTAAATTAAGGTTTTAATTATATTAATATGGTCAGCCCCAATAATTGAGCTAAAGGACCATTATGCCCATTAATTATTGGATAAGAATTAGTGTCAACCATTGGATCAAGGGGCAAGATGGTCAAGTGGGCTAGATTTTGGACACATGGATCCCACTAGAGACCCTTTGACCAACTCTTGACTTTCTCTCTCTCTCTCTCCTCCTCTCTCCTTCACCGGCCACAACTCCATTCCCTTCTCTCTCTCCCGCGTTTCTTCTCCTCCTTAGCTGTTCGGACGCCATCACCGCCGGCGCTGCTGCTGCTGCTGTTCTGCCCGTTCCAGCCACCCATCCAGCTAGTTTGTCCCGTCTTTTTAGGGTAAGTGACTTCCCCAAACGTTACCTAGGACCTCGGGTATTGTTAGACATGTTTAGGGCTCGGTTTGGGTAGCTTAAGCGGCTGTTTTGAGGCTGAGATAAGGGCTATGATTTTCTGTTCGGCGCGTAGATTAAATAGTTTGATTCGGCAATTAATTGCGTGAAATTGCCGTGTAATGTCGTGATCGTTGTGGTATGGTAGTTTGAACCATGTGGAATGAATTTTGAGGGCTGAAGTTCGGTGGGTAACAACAAGGACTCGGATCCTTGAAGTTTGGGTGAATCTCGAAATTGTGTTTTCTGTACCCTCCCGGTTTGCTATTTTTGTAGAGATTTTTGGAGGCCGAATCAGGGGTGGTGTCCTTCACGAAATTTTGTTCTCATATCTTGAAGTATAACATATTTTAAATTTGGAATTTTTGGAGGCCATTTGGGTCGTACGAAGACCCATTCTCAGACCGTATCAAAACCGCCCGGAACACTGTTCATCCCGACCTTCTTGTCTTGCCGAATTTTTATAAACTTTTCCAGATCTATTTTCAATAAACTTCCTTCACGAAAGTTGTTGGCGACTCTCTTTTCTATGACATATAAAAATTTCAAAGCTTTTCAAGGTGATTTGGGTGTTGAAATAAATGTATTTTGAGGACAAAACAGTCTGTTAGAGCGAACTGATTTTGGTATGATTTCGAGGGACAAAAAGGCATGGTTGTAGATTAAACCGGATTTCGTGTTCTTCATAAGAAATGTTGATCAAGATTTTTTTTATGATATATCCAAAATTTAGAATTTTTGGAGTTCGTATATACGATTGTATGGTTTGTGATTGTTGGTTGATTCTGGATTGTGTCTTGGGCTGAATGTGGCATGATTGTGTGCCGAGAGTGTGTGGCCATGAGGCGTGATGGTGTGATTGCGCATTGAGTTCGCGTGCCAAGCATGGGTGATCGTGTGATGTTCATGTGGCGAGAATGTGTATTTGTGAAGTGTATGTGAAGTGTGCGATTGTGTGTGGCCGTGTGTATATGTGGCCGTGTGGTAGGTGTGGTATGAGTGGAACGAAGGTACGGGAATGTAGGATTGGTTGGAAAGGTTCCGTCCTGAGGCGTGTTCGTTTACGCGGGACGATGCCGTCCCTGACGAGGTGACGATGCCCGGCCCGACGGGATGACGATGCCTGACGAGGTCAGAAGATTGTTGACCTGATGCGTTTTACGCGGGCGCAGTAGAAGGAAAGTTGAGTGTAGGATTCCGTCTTGAGGCGTGTTCGTTTACGCGGGACGATGCCGTCCCTAACGAGGTGACGATGCCCGGCCCGACGGGGTGACGATGCCTGATGAGGTCAGAAGACCATTGGCCTGATGCGTTTTACGCGGGAGCGGTAGTGGTGGAAAGTTGAGAATGAGCTGGAATTGGTTTGACGTGTGAGAATTGATGCATGGCGTGAGTTCGTGTGCGAGTATGGTTGGTATCGGGTATTGTGGTGCTCGACTATGGGATAAAAACTACTAGGCATGGTATGGAACGTGCCCAAGTGGGTTTTGCCTTATAATCGAGGCACGCGCGCGACTGTGATGTGTTACTGTGGTATGTCGGCGTTGTTGTTATTTAATGTGCAAGAACGTGCATGATGGATCCCAGGTAGGATCGTATATGTTTGTTAGTATGGTTGATTGCTGTGTGTTATGCGTGTTTCGTCTAGCGGTACGTGAGAGCCTATGTGGGGTTTGGGGTTGTACACTTATTGAGATTCGTCTCATGATTGTGTAACCACCACTTTCAGAACCCCAATCTTAAACCCGGGAGGTCCGCCTTCTCTTTTTGGAGTTCGGGGAGCCGCCATGGTGCCCAGTGGAGCTGCAGATGATCCTCCGGGGGCTTGAGCCAGAAGACGCAGGAGCAGAAGGGAAGAAGGTGACCAGTAGGTTTCCCTAGGGTATTTTAGGGGTTGCACGGAATAGGTCGTCCTATAGTGAAGCTAGGTTAACCAAGCCACCTGATCCTGTTTGTTATGTCGGTGGTTGTGAATGCTTGTTTGCTAAGCTCGTGTATAATATGATGTTTGTATGTATAATGGTTTGGCATTGTATATAAATGAATGTTGTTGTTATTTGACTGTCTGGTTGAGCTACCCCATCGTCGTCTTTATAGTCAGGGGTTTTATATTCGCTTCCGCATGTGTTTCTGATGTTTGGGATTGGGTCGGCGATGTTCCTGGGACGTCGCAATAATTCGACCGGAGCGGGATGTCGCGAGCTCGATGGGGTTCAGGGCGTGACAGTCTTCACTTCCATGCTTAAGTTGATTTTTCTCCACGCTCATTCCTCCATCTTGAGCACTAGTAACTCTATTTTGAAACATGTTTGCCATGTATTCTCGGTTCTTTTAAGTGGGAGCTTTTAGTACCACGGAGGAGGGATGGACTCTGACACTCAAAAGGACCAAATATTTCTTAAAGAAACCCTCGTCCAAAGGAAGAATAGATAAACAGATTTGGAAAAGGTGGGTACTAATAAATAGCCACGAGGATTATACCACTAAAATCAAGTACAAATGATAGTACTACTTTTATTTTGGATTTAATTTCTACAAGAGAGAAAACATCACACAAAGCAAAATTCCGTGCTCTTGTTATTGTCCTCATGTCGGTAACTACTAGAAATTATTGGAACACTGGAAGAAGATTCAAGTTCAATCTCAGTCTCCACATCATCAACTGGCGTCTCAATCGGATACAAATGTGGTTTCGGGGGAAGTTGTAGGTTATTGACCTCTCCTTCTAGCATATTGAGGACCCGACTCATCGATGGTCGATCACTAGGGCTCAATTGTATACACCAAAGAGCAACAATTATCATCTTCCTCATTGTCTCTCGTTCCTCTTCTATCCTATCTATGATATCATCCTCCTTTTCTTTGCTGAGTTGATCATAAATCCACAAAGGAAAATAAATTTGACTGTCCTCTGCATTTGCATTTACATTTCTCCTTCTACCTGCCATTTCCATCAACATCATCCCAAAACTATAAACATCAACTTTATGAGAAACACCACCAATGTCCTTATAGAATAGCTCAGGCGCCATATATCCCAAGGTTCCTCTTACTGCAGTCAACGATACTATGCTACGATCAGTGGGAAAAGGTCTTGCAAGTCCAAAGTCAGAAATTTTCGGAGTGAAATTCTGGTCGAGGAGAATATTGTGAGGCTTGATGTCAAAGTGTAGAATTTGCATGTCACATCCCCGATGTAGATATTTTATCCCTCTAGCTATGCCAAGTGAGATCTCATAAATTTTCTTATGATCAAGAGAATTTTCTCCATCTTTATAGAAAATGTGCTTATCCAAAGATCCATTCGACATGAAATCATAGACCAGAGCTTGTTTGGAGCAATCGAAGCAAAAACCAACAAGGTGCACCACATTAATATGGTGAATCCTTCCAATTGTGGCCACTTCGCTTATAAAATCTTGGCCATTAGATTTTGGTTTGTTCAAAATCTTAACCGCAACTTCATTGCCACTTCTAAGTATTCCTCTATATACACACCCATATCCTCCTTCACCCAACTTGTCTTTGAAATTTTTTGTGATCTTCTTGATATCCGAGTAAGAGTATCTTATGGGTAAAAAGTTGTTGTGAGCTTGTAGAAATTCTTCGATGTTTGCGTCCATTGCTTGGTGCCTTCTCCTCCACTTATAGATTAGAAGTATCAACACACATGGAGCTCCTAATATGAATTTTGCTGCCAGGAAGTGAGCTGCGTAGAAAATTGCCTTAACGATTATTGAAAAGCACGGTCCTTTTTATTTGTTATAAAGCACATTCAAAGAGTGTTTTCTTGACATATGGCGAGCGAGTGTTTCGTAGATGTGAGGAAAAAAGAATCATCCATACCGAAGACAAAGCCGACATTAGGAATTGTATTCAGTGCGACATTTAGCCTCGTAGCCCATGAAGACTTGTCTACAAAAAGCAAGAGATTATTATGACATGTAATCAGTATTATTATCCTGATTAACCAAAAAATTACGTATAAATTAAGAATATTCAAAGCAAAGATTTAGTAAGGATAATAAGTGATAAAAAAAACTAAAGTTACATTTTTCTACTATATTGCTCAAATTACGACAATCAATAGTTTGCACGTATTCAACAAATCTCTTGTCTCGGTGTGAATAACTAGGTATGCGCTATGCTGATTTTATATCTCTTTTGGAACCAAAGATCGATCTAGTATTGTTGCATCACATGTTATATGTTCTTCGAACCTAAAGATTATATCTAGGGAATTTTATAAGGTAGGATTACCATACCCTGGCCGCCGCAAAAAAGCACACCATTAACTTTTTGGTGCGCTTTTTATTCCCCAATTTGTGAAACTCTTGATATATAATAAAAATTAGCCGTGAACAGATCAGGTTTTTTGAGCTATTATTAAAAATTGAATTTTTTTTTATTAGTAAAAGTCGAGATGTTAAATGTTAAGTTAGCACCAACTTAATTTTAGTGGGTGCTATATTTCAAGTTTCTACTATCATTGTATGAACGGGAAGAAAACGCAACCCAATGTGATTGCTATCATCATTTTCTCTCGGAGAACAACGTTTGTTTGTCATCTTTGTGAACTAATTATTTGCATGTCATCTTAATCCCATCGAGGGCTAATTCATTTTGTCACAGTCCGGCGCTTAAAGCACAAGAGCTATAGCTAGAGCCAAATATTGGCATATACTGATGGACAGGCATACTTACAGGAGTAGTAGGATATGCATCGTTGCCCTCCGTATCGGAAGCCTAAGAAGCAAAAAAGAAATGTCATCTGCGGCCACGCATCATAGTAGAGATTAAACCCGTCGGTCATCGCATTGTGGATGTCGTTGTAGGAGATCGGGCGATTCTCCCTGAACCATGGTGCTCTTTTCTCCTGTAAATATTCTAATTCCCACAAATAATCTGCTGCCCATGTTGACGTGGTTATGGTGCAAAAATCCTCAATATCTGATGCCTCTGCATCGATGACGGCATATGAATAAAACCCGTTTATAGCTATACATGGTTCGGTGGCGATATATAAAGGATATATAGGAGATCTCACTTGCTTTGAGCAAGACACAATGGTCACACTGGTTCTATAGGAGATGTAGTAATGTTCATCGTCTTCACCACTGAAATTAGATCTCATTAACTGGTGGAGAGGAAGGGAGGAACAGTTGCTCTTTTGCAGCCCGACATCGACCACCTCTATCTGCCCGAAATCCCAATCAATGGAACCCCCGAAGTTCCAGGGGTTTATCGATTTCACATGATATCGGCCATCAAACAAAGATAGCACCGTGCGGTTATCTTCGCACGCTAACTCGAACCCCGAGTCGCCGCAGCCTTTCGGGTCGTCCTTCAATCGAAAGGGATAGCGTATGTTACCGACCTCGCCGCACGCTGAAGGGGCACACAGGTGATTGTTCCGGGCATAGCAACTAATCCCTGCTTGTATTATGAGAAGAACGAGTAATGGGAAAGGCTCCATTTGGTACCTGAGTTGAGAGAATTTGTGCGATGGATAGAGATTTTTGTTTGGCTGTGGTTATATGTGGTGGTGAGGCTCCATAGAAAAGGGGATGCATTTATAGAGACGTATCGGGATTGAAGTTGGAAGAGTTTGGAGTCGATCTTTCGAGAAGCCCAAGTGGAGCAAATGACCCAGAGCCGTCCAAAGTCAAGAAGGCGCGTGATGGAACGTGTGGGGCATGGACAGATATTTCACTGGAAGGCCCACGTCGTCCTAGGATGAGATAATCTTGGTCCATATACTCTATAAATCATAGACTATTTTTTCTTTTTTTCATTTGATCACGCAATGTTTTCCTCTCACCGCCCTTATGATTGGTGAATTTTAGACATGGACAAAACACCCGTTTATATTAAGTTAATTTAAAATATAAATGATATCCACAACTTATAACCCACCGTTCATAGGGACGGTCGGAGGAAGTTTTCTTCAATCGTGCATTTTTAGAGATATACGCCAAGTATTGAAATACACGTAAAAATTTCGATAGGCCACCGAAAATTATGAGCAATAGAAAATTTCATTTTCAAATGTTTATTTTCAAAGTAAGTGATTTTTCTCGGAAAGCCTAAGTAAGGTCACCACCAAAGAAATAGATATTTGTTCCTCGATATGACGCATGCATTTCATTTCATTTCATGTTTCAAGGAAATTCCTCACCAGAAATGACTTCTCTTTTTCCCCAACGTAACATGCGGTCCACGTCGTATACCAGGAAAGTCTCAGTGTTGCTACTTGATGGGAATTTGTTTTGTAAATCCTACAAATTTAATTTACGAATAAAAAAGAGGAATGGCTTTGCCCCTGCCAAAAGCATGATTTTTTGGGTGTTCTTGATTTGCTTAGGACACAATTAAGCGTGCAATCAAATCCTGAAAATTGTCATATTAGTGGGACTGATGATTTTCGTTTGTTTAATCAAATTTGGGTGATGAAAATGTTGACATGACACTTTTTTACTTTTTAAGGACACATAGGTCTCGGGATAATTGTTCCAAAAAATCTTAAATCTCTTGTACAGCAACCAATTATTTCCTAAACCTTTTAATTATGCGAAATTAGTCAACTTGCCAAATTAGTCCCAAACCTTTCAAATGTTTCAATTTAATCCTAAACCTTTTGAGGATTTGTTAATTTAGTCGTAAACATATTAAAGATTTTTCAATTTAGTCATTCCGGCCAATTTTGGCAGAAAAACGCTAACGTGGACGCCAGTCGGCCATCGGACATCCTATGTGGTGTGGCCGGCGAGGGCCGCGACCTTGTTGGCCTTGCCTATGGCCGAGTACCGGCTACAGGCCAAAGGGAAAGAAAAGGGAAAAAAAGAAAGGAAACAAAAAAATTTTAAAATGTAAAATTTGTCCACATCAGCGCTGGCCTTGCCACGTATGATAGCCAACAGCCGGCTGGCATCTACACCAAAGATATCCAGAAAAAATTGGCCAAAATGACCAAATTGGTAAGTCCTCAAAAGATTTATGACTAAATTGGCAAATCATCTAACACTGCATTGCATCACGATCACCGAGTTTCTTCGAATTTTATTTGTCTTCGATTGCATCGTGTTATCTATTTTTTTCCGAGTATACTTGTAGGCCTGCAATTTGCTAGAGAAGTGCATTCGGCTGTATATGGACCATGTCAAAACAGTTCATAACCTAGAAATCCATGCCCGATCGACCGTTGGATCACACGTATGGTTGAGAGATCATGCTTCTGTTCTGATCAGTGATTAATGCTAAGAATTAGTCCAGTTGAGGATGATTGATTTAGATTACCTGGCAAGAAAAATGAACATCGGTGCTAAAAAGCCTAGGCCAGTTCGAACTTGGATTTCGGGGATGCTACTTTTGTTCACGAGAATAACTAGATTCGGTCTTTGTATCTGTATGCGAAGATTCTCATCAGGATGATTTTCCAGTGAGCGTGACACTCAACTATTGTGGTGATTCTGTATCTCGTTTCTCTGAGACAATTTTCTTTGTACATCTTCTACAATTTCTCCTGCCTTATCCTCCATTGCGTAGAACATAGTACCTACTCTGGTGATTAGCTTAACCATTCATCTTAACTGAAAGCCTCTTGCCTACTTTACAGGATTCTGAGTTGAAATTACCTGCTTGTATTTGACTTTGCGAATTCTGTTATCTGCACTAAGATTCAATACATGCATCGTTCGAGAGGGCAAGTGGCTTTGTCGGCTTATGGCATGAGGCGTGGCCTAACTTTATTTGCCTCGGCATTTCTTGCTTCAAAGGACACGGATATTCTTTCTCCGGAATTGTATGTTTAGATGATCATAATTGCCACTTCTGATAAAACACATTGCCGGAAAGAACATGATCGTCACTGTGTTCTAGTTCAACACCTTAATTCTTCAACTTCAAGTTGCAATGCTGATTCGTGCTCGCACTTGTGGTTGAAAACTGATGATGAGCAGAGCTGAATCTGACACGCTACCTGTCATTCTCCTCGGCTTTGTCAGATCAGAAGAGGTGGCAGGGTCCGCTCCACATCTCGTGCCCGGTGGTAATCTTGCTTGTCCATCATTGGAGGCACGAGGAAAGAGAATAGATGCTGCATTAGATGCCGTCACGCTGCACATGTCCCGATTTCGCAAGTTCTGAACCTTAAGCAGGTGGCCACCAGGCTGCAAACTTCAGGGGACCTTTTCAACCGTCATCTTTAATGGTTCGGAGCTTGAGCCACTTGGATTCATACCCCGTCTTTATTTTCTCGGAAGGTGTTCATGATATTTAATGCTGTTTAGCTAGAAATTCTGCGCCTTTGCTCTTACTTGGTTTGGAGTTTCTACTGGCAATCTCTTCCTGCGAAGGTTTGGCTCGGCACTTTATTTGTCAGCATACTTGCATAGACATGGTGGTTTTCTTCTTTTGCCCATTAGTACATTCAACTAACGGTGCATCAAATCTGATAAAAGCTAGTACTCTGATACTAATCTATGTATCACTCAGTACATCTCCTAGTACAGACAGAGACAGTTTGCCATTTACAGAATCAAGACATTACCAAGTTAGCTTTCGGCAGCGATTTCATTCCATTTTGTGTTCTCCAAACCGAGACTCATTCCAAGTCATTGAAAGCCCTCAGTTTTCCACCTGGTAGTACTAGGAATGTCCTTTCTGCTTTGTCCGTCTCCACTTAAAAAGCCATCTTAAGCAATTGAAATGACCGTGCAAAAATGTTGTTGCTTTAAATGCTGAGACGACCGAAGATTCGAGAGCAACATGTGCTTTTGCTACTTTTCTATGTATTCTTAGTCCCGATGAACGACTTCTCTGTCTACAGATCTCTAAGTGAAGTGGATATTGCGCGTTACTTATCAACATCAGTGTCTAGTGGAATGTTTGCTTAGTAGGGAAACTCTGTGCGGATGGGACAATAGCGAGGAATATGATGCTTGTTTGGAAGAATGGAAGACTAAAGAACATGAAGAATTGAGTCAATGAAGCGTTGCATTTCATCTATATGTTGTATAGTATAAATAGAGATATAATCACCAACAATTACGGTAGAAGTTAAAGATAAAAGATATAATTTGATTTACAAGGAAATTGAATAAAAGATAAAAGATGTCCAAATAATCAACTCGTGGATACTCTGCTTGATATGTTATCTTCATGATGATTTGTAGAAGATTTTGCACGGCAACCATTTTAATTTTTTGCTTTTTGATTTGTTACTTCAATAAAGACACCATCTCACGTTTCATCATTCAGTGAATACAAACTCTTATCACGTTTACGGATTGAGCTTTTGCAATTGTAAATCATATTTTAAGCTCCGATATGATGCGCAAATTTAGGACCTGTTTAGTGGAGAGGATGATTGAATTGCTGAAGATGATCTCCTTCTATCTTGTCTTTGAGATCAGAGTGAAAGATTTGCAAATTTGAGTTTGGCTATGCCAGTTGTGGTGGTTGAACTAATTTATGAGAGAGGAGACAGACTCATTGCTCGATGCAAACAGTATTGCGAAGAACTAGCGTCAACCAAGAATCTTACATATGAATGATCAAGATCTTACAAAGATAGTACCATTTGACGAAAAATCAATATATGCCTAGACAATCCAAACTTCATATGATAGAGAGCAATCAAGATCGCTCCACAGTTGCACACCTGACCCGCACAATGCATGAAGTGGGGATTTCATGGAGTGGAAATCCATGTAAAATCTAATTCCAAAAAGTAAAGATATTGTCAGGAAATTAAAGCACATCGAAATTGAAATTACACGAGAAGGAAATACAAGAGTTGAATGGAAAAGAAATGCGAAGGAAATAGAAAGACTAAACTCGAGACGAGCTGAATGGGGGTCGCGAGTTTGTTTTGTTCTTCTTCCCACTATATCAATATACGGACTGTTCGAATACCAGTAGTCTTCCCTTCCATGCTTAAGTTTATTTTGAGCTTTTGTAATTCTATTTTGAAGCATGTTCGCCAAGTATTCTCGATTCTTTGAATTGCAGGCTTTTCTAGGATGACGGAGGAGGAAAATTGGCATTGATACCAGAAGGATCAAAAGTTTCTCAAAGAAAATCTCATCGAAAAAAAAAATAGACATTTGAAAAAAGTGGCTACCAATGGATAGCCACTAGGGTTATACCACTAAAATCAAATCAAAGTACGAGTGATTTTATTCCTTTTATTTTACATATAATTTCTACAAGACGGAAAAAAATCACGCTTAGCAAGATCCTGCAATTTTGTTGGAACACTTTGAAAAGATGAAAATGTTTCCAATTCTATCTCACTCTCCGGTTTTCGGGAAGTTCAGCCTCTGAATTGAGTGTTGTAGTTGATAAGTTAGGGTGACATGACTTCTTGAAATGGCCGAGAGGTTCGTGTAATTACATCCTGAAATAATTTCAAAAATTAGTGTGACAAGAAAATTTATCCGTGATTTATTTTATCTCTAGGATTAGGAATTAGTCGAGCTTGTGAGCAATTATAACTCTATAAATCATTTAGTGATTAGTAGATTTTCTGCTGCTAGCTCTCCATCGGAGTACGTACCAACACGCGGACCAAATCACGTAAATCCAGTATGTGCTTTAGCATT